TGGCCCCCCGACGGACCCACGCTCCCAGAGTGTTTTGTTGCCAGGACATAACACCTGGACGATACAACCCGAAGGAATGTGCCCAAAGTGCTTGCACGAATTCACATGCAGTCGGACCTCGCACCATGAATGGCAGCACAGACACGCCTCAGGCGTCTCACCGGGGCCGCCGATGCGAGGCGCCTCGAGGTACCACCCCGAGACACGGCCACCGGCACCACCCCAACGTTGCCGCGGGCCTCACGCAGCGGAGACCCCACTGCCCGAGGACGTTGCTAGGGGAACGAAAAATGACAGAAACATGGTAACTCTAAGGTCCGCGCGGATTTCTTGGATCCGCGCTGGACCCCCCTCCCTGGCGCGCGGAGTGCGCCAGGGGCGGCGCTGGAGGCACCGCCATGGGGCCCCAGCGCCGATCCGAGAAATCCGCGCAGACCTCCGAGTTGTTCATTGGCTGGTCCCCCAGTTACTTCCCGCGCCCCCCTGGTGGGGGGACAACTTCGAGTAATCCCATCGGGCTTCTCAGGGGTGGTGCGGCGGGCCCGCTCTTCCTGTGGCTGGCCAGCCACAGGGCGAGACTCTCTGCCACAGCCCCGTCGGGCTGTCGTGACGAATGGGCTGCCAACACGCGTGTTTTCCTGGGGCGCCACGAGGGCACCCAGCGGCACAGGTGCCCACGCTCCCCAGAGTGCCCTGAGATGGCTCAGGCAGCCCCGAAGAGGTCCCCAAGAGGCCCCTACGAGGCAACAGGACCCACAAGCGGCTCCCAGGAGACTCCCATGGCCCATGGCTCCGTCGCAATGCGGAAGCATGGACAAGGCAGAATGATCGAATGGCAGAAGACGCTGAACACGAGGAGAGACACCCCGAAACGACACGGAAAAACGTGTCGCCGGTGACTCCTCTCCAAAAGGTACAGGGCAAGAAAAATCCTCTTCCTCCTCCTCCCTCTCCTCCTCCCCCTGGGTCGACACGTATCACACGCGGCGGCCTTCACTTCCTCCTCCTCCTCCTCCTCCTCCTCCTCCTCCTCCTCCTTCTCCTCCGCCTCCTTCTCTACTCGTCATCGTCCTCCTCCTACGTACTCCTTCTCTCCTCGTACTCCTCCTCCTCCTCCTCCTCCTCCTCCTCCTCCTCCTCCAGCTTCTCTTCGCAATTCAAGCGCTCACGATCTCATGTGCCATCATCATCCCCCGCCACCTCCTCGCCCCCTCGTCCACCTCGCCCTCGTCCTTGTTCGTATTCCTCCTCCTGCTCCTGCTCCTGCTCCTGCTCCTGCTCCTGCTCCTCCTCCTCCTCCTCCTCCTCCTCCTCCTCCTCCTCCTCCTCTTTCATGAAGACGACAAGCGCACCATGTGATGGCGTTGCTCCCCTTGCTCATCGTCCATCTTCTCCTGGGGACGACAACTGTCACATGTGAACTGTATCGCTCAGTAGAATGTAGAAACCTGCTATCCTCCGTTGACATGGTGTTCACCACCTAGAGGTGGTTGGTACTCATCATGTTGGTCATCACCCTGCGCCGAGAACGTGCCAAGATTCGCGCTGTTCGGTACTTCCCGTGATGTTGCTGGCCCCCGCGGTGTTGCTCGGAGGACGTGATTGTCGGCGTCGTGCCCCTGGTCATCAGCACATGGCTGGGCTCTGCTCAGGGACTGGCCTCACATAAGTGCGTAAAGTCTGAATCGTGATGCCGCTCAGCGCCACGTTGCCAGACTCCGCTCATCGTCGTGATGCGCTTGGCAGGGTCCGGTACTTGCTTGAACAAGAAATTGCGGAGATGGCATCTGGACAAACTTCCGGATTATTTCTGCAAATTACCCAGCATTCGAAAAACCCGAACCGAGACCAGGGGGGTGGTTACACTTACCGAACGCAAGGCGAGACGGGCACCGACGTGCCGACTGCGGCGGACAAACCAGATCTCGCACCGAAGCATGCCAAGCGCGCATCCTCCTCCTCCTCCTCCTCTCCTCCTCCGCCACCTGCGCCTCCTCCGCCTCCTCCTCCGCCTCCTCCTCCTCCTCCGCCTCCTCCTCCTCAGCCTCCTCCTCCGCCTCCTCCGCCTCCTCCTCATCCTCTTCTCCTCCTCCGCCTCCTCCGCCTCGCGCGTCGTTGGCGCAACGCGGGCCCCGCCTGGCCCCGAAGACGAGGCAGCGCCGCCAGGAACTTCGCACATCGGAACTGCGACCTCCGCCTCCGCCTCCGCCTCCACCTCTGCCGCCTCCTCCTCCCTCTCCTCCTCTTCTTCCTCCTGCACCAACTCTTGATCCTCCCCCTCCTCCCCTTTCTCCTCCCCCTCCTCACCTTCCTTCTCTCCCTCCTCCTCATCATCCTCCTCTGCCTCCTCCACACTTGTACAACGTGGACACTACGATCTCCTCTCCCCTGACTCTGTGTGGAGAGTCTCAAATCCTCCCCGCGCATTGCACTTTTGCACACAGGATTTCGGTATTTGGTGCTTGCGATGTGCTTCTTCAATCTCCACGCTTCGGTCATTCAACATCGTGCTCCCGATGAAGCGCTGGCGTCAATCCCGCGCCTCCAAACGGCATTTGGCATTCGAGAGCGCCCACATCGGGCAGGCACGGCTGCGGAGGACATGGAGCCGGCATGCCGGACAGGCCCTGCCCTCTCGTAGACGGGCCACTAGCACTCCAAGCCATCCGGTGCTATGTCACGGCATGCAATGCGATGCTGTGTTGTGCACCGCTGTGCGATGCCATTATTTTCGTTGCCACGATTTGTGATGCAATGCTTCACTGCGCAATGCCTCGCCATGCCATGACATGCTATGCTCTGCTGTGCTCTTCTACGCCATGTGTTTCCATCCATCGCGAACCCTCTTGGGACAATTCCCCTGCTCGACATCCGACTGTGAGAACAGATCAGAGAAATCCACGCCATGGTGAATGATGGGAGTGGAGGTGCAGGACACCAGATGTGACGCTAGCGCGCCCAGCTCGTCCTCCTCCCCCATCCTCTCCCTCCCCCTCCGCCTGTCCCTCCTCCTTTTCCGCCTCCGCCTCCTCTCGGAGGCGCGGACACATGGATTAACGATCAATGGATTTGGTGCGCGGTCGCCAAAACCGTGGATCTGGGGAGGTGCCCTCCCGAAAATGCGGCCGGTGCCGCCTCGCTCGGCGGCGGAAATCCGCGATTTCCCATGGAAACGGGCCCCGTCGCTGATCCACGGACCCTTGATCCATGTTTGCGACCGCCTGAAGGACGCCAGACGTGACGCTAGCGCACTCAGCTTGTCCTCATCCCCCTCCTCCCCCTCCTCCTCCGCCTGCCCCCCCCGCCTCCTCCTCCTCCGCCTCCTCCTCCGCCTCCTCCTCCGCCTCCTCCTCCTCCTCCTCCACCTCCTCCTCCTCCTCCTCCTCCTTCTCCCCCTTCGCCTGCCCCTCCTCCTCCTCCTCCGCCTGCCCCTCCTCCTCCTCCTCCTCCTCCTCCTCCTCCTCCTCCTCCTCCTCCGCCTTCGCCTCCTCCTCCTCCTCCTCCTCCTTCTCCTCGTCCTCCTCCTCCCCCTCCGCCTGCCCCTCCTCCTCTTCCTCGACCTCATTTCCCCCTCCCTCGACGACTGCGGCTGCAGCGGCGGCGCCGCACACTCCCGGCGGCCTGATAGCTCTCGCGCGGCGGGGGCCCGCGGGGGCGGCCGTGGGGGGGAAAGAGGCGCCGCCCGCGCGCGGGGAGGAGGCCGCCCGCGCGCGTGGGGGCCGCGCCCCCTTCGACGGGGGGCCGGAGACGACCACGACGACGAGGACGACGACGAGAAAGACGACGAGGACGAGGACGAGGACGAGGACGACGACGAGGACGACGACGACGAAGAAGAAGACGAGGCCGAGGCCGAGGCCGAGGCCGAGGCCGAGGACGAGGACGACGACGACGACGGCGGAGAGGACGACGACGGAGAGGACGACGACGGAGACGACGACGACGAAGACGACGATGACGACGACGCTGACGAAAACAGGGCGTGGAAGAGGCCTGAAAGGGCTGCGGGGCGCGGCGGGCAGCCAAAGGGAGGGGCGAGGGGTGCAGACATCACTGCCGCGGCTCGGGGCGACGGAGGGCAGAGCGAGATGGAGCGAGAAACGCTCGCGAGCTGCACGCGCGTGCTCGGGCCCGAAGCAGGCTCACCCTCCTCCTGCCAGCTTCCCGCCCAATCCGTCGCCTCGTCACCGCTTCCTTGTCAACAGTGCCAGCTTTCAACCAGACGGTGCTGCCTCTATGGTTCCGATCTTTCTACACGCCCCTATATACTCCACTTTCTTCCCCCCTCTCTGGGGACCCTCCTCCATTCCAACGTTTACTTCCTACGCCCCCTCGGCCCCTGCCTCTCCCTCCCTATCCTCCCCTTCTCGCTTATTAAACTCATGTAACTCACTTTGCTTCTGAACTATCATCCCCGACCTCGTGCCTCAATTCTTCCGCCCCTCGCTCGCACCTCGTCAACACTTCAAGCATCAACCACCCAGCGTCTCGCTTCCAGCAAGCCCAATATCATGATTATCTCTCCGTGAGAAGCCGAAACATAGGACTGCATGCCTCAAGGAAATCCATGCATCTTGCTTCGCAAGGGACTCGCGGGAACTCCCTCAAGCCACTCTTGGGAGTCTCGGAAGCCTCCCTGGGCGGTTCATCGGAGTAGTGGGCCGCCATGGGGGCCATATCAACAATTTGCTTGGTCGCCTTGGGGGACGAGTTGGGTGCCCCCAGCGGCGGGACCGACCAGCCCGCGGCAACCCCACTTGCGGCAGAGTTCCGCCAGGCAAGGAAAGAGATCTCACGCACGATTCTGCTCGCGCAAATCCAAATGCACAACATGCGCTCTTCCGCAAACACGGCCGCTGCTGCACAGCGATTCGTGACCCACGTCGCCGCTAACGGAGGGCGGACAGCGAAGACGACAACTACGTCTAAGCAGCTCATCCTCCTCCCCCTCTCCCTCCCTCCCCACCTCCCTCCCTCCCTCCCCCCCTCCCTCCCCCCCAGCTCCATCGAGACCATCGCCGCGCGCTCCCGCCCTCCACTTTCAGAGTCGCAGGGCCCGCGTCCCTCGACAACGCCCACGAGAGCCGCGCCGACGGAGGGCACCTCGAGAGTAGAAGCGCCCGCGCGCGCCCCCGTAGGGCAGCCTGCCCACGCCGTCTACATGCCAGGAAGGTCCCCGCCGCAACGGCGCGGTCCGGGAGGCTGCGTCCGTGGTTCTCGACATTCCCAGGCCTCACCAGTGGCCAAAGTTACATACGCCACAAACGGACACCCTGCGACGAACGTTGAACTTGCCTTCAGGGAGGGCGGCGGTGTGGAAAGTCGCTAGCCCTCAGTGGTGATTCATACAGCGCCGCCCGTCCCTGAGACCCCGGAACTATGCACTGTAGGGTGCCTGTGTATATGCCTGTGCGGCGGTTTTGCTTTACACCTAGGGCCTTCGAATGCCCTCGCTCGGGCCCCAGGACGGGCCACGCGCAGGAGTGGCCCCAGGCCAGAGTCATGGTGCGCGGCTTTGGGGGTCGCGGGGGGGGGGGGGGGGGGGGCAAACCCAGGCGCGAAACCTGCTGCTGTCGCATCGCATGCAGTAATCGGCGCCATCCGGCGTTGGGTCATTCTTACGTCAGTCGCCAGGAGCAGGCGAAAACGACCCAGGCAAAAAGCTGGTAGGTCGAAAGCTCCTGAGGCCTACTCTTTGAGACAATCACGACGCCCGATGTCCAGGGCTGCATGCTGGATGCTCGCGAAGGGTAGTCCAGGCTGGCCTCACCATATTCCCACTGCCAATAAAACGAAATCTATGAGATAAGACATTTCACAATTGATCTGGGGATAAAAAAACGACAGTAGCCGCTGACATGCCAAACCAGGTCTCGCAATAACAGAACGGCAGGGGCTAGAGCGAAACATCACTTCCTTATTGACTGCCGTGGGTGTACCTCGACAAAATTTTGGGACGGTCGCAACACCCCTTGCCGCCTCTGGCGGCGCCCCCAAGGGCGTTCCCTCTCCTGGAATTGGCGTGCTGCGGCCGCACTCCCCCCCCTTCCCCCCTCCCGCAGCTCCCTTCCGCCTTTGCGCCTAATTCGATCAGCAGCAACCCTGCCAAAGCTCGACCGCACCTTGGATCCAAGGCGCCGCAGATCACAACAAGTTTCGGTCGCACTCGGGATCACCTGCGGGAGTCACAACCCCAAGCCTCTGCCAGCCTCTGCCACCGCGAGCACCTGTCGGCCTCGGGTCTGCCGTCGGGGGGCCCTCGAAAGCCGCCGCGGAGCCTCCAAACTGGATCCCAGACGACGTCGCATCCCCTCCCAACCTGAAGCCCGGAGTGCTCGGCCCCCCTCCCCAGACTGGCTTCGTACCCCGAGCCGCTTGCCGACGGGCCCGGGTACAGTGGGGGCCCGACCACAAGAGACCTGCCACACGAAGCCCAGACCCTGAGACCCCAGGGCGTTTCCCGAGTGGTGGCGTGGGAGCGTCCCGCTCTCCATGGCAGCACCGGCGAAACCTAAGGCAAACCCAAGGGCACCCTGGAGGCAAGCGGGGTGCTCCTCGGCCTGGGCCTCCACTGTAGAAGGGGTCGAGAACGGCCCGCGCCCGAGCCGGCGCCGCGCCGGGACGGCGCGAGGACCTGCCGCGGGCCCTCTCCCCTGAGGGGCTGTGGGGGGGTCTCGGCCCTCGCCGTGCCCCCAGCCCCGCGCCCTCGGAGGGCGACGCAGCTTGAAAGTCTTTGAAACGAGTCCTTCCGCTCGCCATCGTTCGGACGTCCCTTCCCCGGGCACCTGTCGGTTTCGCGCGTGTGCGTCTTCTCTAGAGGCTGGTCCTCTTGCGAAGAACCACGCGCTCCGAGGAGGCAAGAGGATGATCCTCAGAGGAAGAGGGCGATCCTCTTCGCAAGAGGCTAATCCTCTGAGGATCCAGGATGCTCCCCGATGGCCCCTGCCTAAGTAAAACGCATACGTCCGAGCGATGCCAAGCAAACGGATGACAACGCCGAATGGAAACCTGAACATCTCCGACCCGTGTCCGGATTGCGGTGCCAGTCCGAGCACTCGCAAAGAGCCCCTCCTCGAGACTGGGGAGGGAAGAGGACCAGGGGGAGACAGAGGAAGCGAGGACGATCGCTGAGGATGCCAAAGGAGGTGTAACAAACATAGATGAGGATGAGGAGGAGAAGCTCCCTTCTCTCCCGTTCCCTCTCTCTTGTGTGTTGTGTTTTGTTGTTGTTTCTCTCTCTCTCTCTCTCTCTTTTTTTTTTCTCTCTCTCTCTCTCTCTCTCTCTCTCTCTCTCTCTATATATATATATATATCGGTTAAAAATATACAGATACGTCTGTGTCTATGTCCCTCTCGTTCCCCCGTGCACTTAACAACCGTTTGCCGCAAGCCTGCGCTCACTGTGGCTACTGCGGCTACGCACCCCATCGTGCCAGGCACCCGTGCCACTCATCGGAAGCCTGCGGACGGACTTGGAACTCTTGCCTGCGCGTGTCTATA